CCTGTGGATTTCTTAACTTCAACGGCAACGTCAACCATAACTACAAATGTTTCGGAAAATACATCTCAAGGGGTAAGTTTGTTTTACTATAGACAATAATCTTTGCAAACTTTCATGCGCATACAACCATCTTTTATCATTACAAACATTAACAATACAGTTTCATGTTAGTAAATCTACTATTTCAGATTCACTATACACAACCCTTTTATTATCTTTATGTTATTGCTGCAGTATGCTGGTATGCAGCTTTATTTACTTTGACCTTTCTCTGGAACTGTAATGTTAAAATGTTATTTTCTTACAAAACTCTTTTACAGTTACATTTGTAATAACTTTTGTATATTTTCCTTAATTTTGTGCATTGTCTATTTACCTAAAAATACCCTTAAAATAATCCTTATGTTTGAATGTACAGTATATTCGTCCAAAAATTATATGTATTTATTTTTGTTCATTTAAATTATTTAATAGAAAATAATATTAATTGCTAAATAGGTTTAGTAATTAATATTATTAAACATTGGTAGGTAAATATTGTCTTTATTGTTTCATTTTTATTTAATTGAAAAATTTTATGTTATGTATTAACGTTATACCAAGTAGATTTTCCAAGTAGAATAGATCTCTTTCTTGCAAATCTGTGTTTAATCCACCTTTCTTTTTTTGTTTCCTTTGCAAGCAGTCAGGGAGGCAGAATGATGTAGCCAAATAATAATTGTTGCTGATAGTAAGAACTATTTTATTAATTTTATATATTGTTTTCTGTTATTGTACATGCATGGTTTATAATATTTATTTAGTAGCATGGGTGATAGTGTAAATATTGTATGTATCCTTAATGCAACATACACTTAAACAAATTGAATTAAAACAATAATGAAAAGAAAAGTAATGGATGATTTTTACCATTTGTTTGCCTATAATCTTTTTTCTGACATTTTTATTCTTTTTAATGTTGCATAGTAGCCCTTTAGGTTTTTTTCTTTTGCATGTACACAATTTCTTGATATCAGATGCACAAGGAAGGGTGATTCATTCATAAGCTAACATATGGTATAGGGCGCTAAAATAATGCACTAGTATATTTACGTTATAATCTTCAGCATAGTTTATCTTTGCAATTAAGAGGTAAACTTATCATAGAAAACATCACATTTTTATACATGACAATGTTAGAGATTTGCAATATCGATTATTTGTATATTGTCTAATATTCTATGACCTTTTACATTATTTTGTTTTTATTAAAAAGGAACAATTTTTATCTTATAAAATCGGTATTGCAGTTTCATAAATTTTGAGTCCTAATCATAGCAATAGAGCAAATATTCGGTTAGTGAGACAAAATTGTGTTGCATATGGCACAGTTCTCTCGATGGAGCTCAACCAGCTCGTTATCGCGAGAGGTGCAGAGCTACACTATGAGGGATCCGCGTTTTCTCCCACAGGACAAGGTAATCCAATGGTATTAGACATTTTTATTTTAAAGGTAATATCATTTATATTATTCAACGATACGTAATATATGTCTTAACTTATTTATTATAGTATCGTATTTTATAATGAGTTTGTGATTGCAAAGTATACTTTTTTAATGATATTGCCATTAGAAGTGAAATGATTTCTGAGTGGAATATAAAGGAATTTTTAATAATAAAATTAATTTTAATTCAAGAATTATTTCACATATGAAAATATCTGAAATACATTTTACATCTGTAATAGATTTAAGATAAGATACATTTTCATACTTCACAGTCATGTAGCTTTTGCCTTTAAATCAAGCTTAAATTCATTCAAATTGAACATTTCATTCTTATAAGATTTTCCTGGCAAAGTGAAGGGAAAGCTTGGTGAAAGATGTGTATATGGTTTTGGTTTTACAGTATATGTGCTATTTGTTAATTGCGAAGCTTATATTTTATGCTTTATACTACATTCAACTGTAAGTTCCAAATTACAAACTTGAAGAAATACGATCATTTAATTAATATTTTTCAATCTTAATAATTTTATTTTAGACAAAATAACATAAGAATAGTATAACAAATTTAATAGTATAATAAAATTGTAAAATTTATCTCATTTTTGTATATAGTTTAATTCTAATGTCTAGTGCTTTATTTTTCAAGAAAATAATTTAAAATAATTAATTTAGGGACCAATGATGTACAACCCGAATGACATGAAGAATCGTTCAGTGAAGAACGTACAACAGAATCGGTATCCTCCACGATAAAATTCACAAGATCACATTATTCAGCAAATTGAAATTTCCACTACTACACTGGCAAACATACCTCAAATTACGTAAGCAAATAATAGATGCATTATAAGTTTTAGTCAAGTATATGTGAATTTTGAATTTCAACTTTATAAAGATCAATTTATTTTCTCTAGAAATTTCATTTCTAGAGAATCATATATATATATAT